CAACATGAGCATAAAATGCAGAGGTTTCTGTCTCAATAGAGTGAGATCTTTCCAATACAGTTTGGCATCCATGACTAAATCAATACAAAAACTGAAATAGCCCAGGCAATCATTGAACAAGACTTATTTCATTCCTAATTCACTAATGTATTGTGCAACCCTTCTAGTTTGGTCTAGGCTTCTATTTCATTTCCAGAACAAAGAATAAGAGGAGTGTTTTCAAAAATCTTTCAAGTTTGATTCCAAGTCTAACCTGATTAGGAAACACATCTCTGCACTGAAGTCTGTGCTGGCTTTCCATTAACTTCATGTCTTAGTATCCTATTTACAATACATGCACTTTCTAAAACACTTTAAGTACTTTTACTTTGAAATAATCAAAAGATATTGCAAAAATAGTGCACAGAGTTCCTATGTACCTGACACTCAGTTTCCCCCAGTGATTACCAGGAAATTGACATTGGTGCTATTAACTAAATCACAGAGTTTGTTCAGGTTTCAACCATTTTCTTATTCATCTGTTGAGCATCCCTTAGACATCAGGATGTGGGGCCCAACAAGCTGCTCATCCTTCTTCCCATCAATAACTCCTTTCTCGCATTTTATCCTTCTATAACCTTGATCTTCTTATGTTGTTGTTCAGTCACTAAGTCATGTCCAACTCTTTGTGACCCCATGGACTGCAGCACAACAGGCTTTCCTATTCTTCACTATCTCCCGGAGTTCACTCAAACTCAAGTCTGTTGAGTTAGTGATGCCATTCAATCATCTCATCCTCTGTCACATCCTTCTCCATCTGCCCTCAGGAGAAGTTCGTCAGGGTCTTTTGCAATGAGTTGTCTCTTTGCATTAGGTGGCCCAAGTATTTGGAGCTTCAGAATCAGTGCTTCCAATGAATATTAAGGGTTGATTTCCTTTATGATTGACTGTTTTATCTCCTTGTTGTCCAAGGGACTCTAAAGAGTCTTCTCCAGCATCACAATTTGAAAGCATCAATTTTTGGGTGTGCAGTCTTTATCATGGTCCAACTCTCACATCTATATATAACTACTGGATCGTTTTATGGGTCCCAAGTTCACACCGTATTATTTGTATGAATATGCTCTGGACCCCAAACAGACTCTCTCAACATTATAGCCCACCAGTGTCTTAGAATAAAAGTGACCTCCTCCATTGTGCATCCTCTTTATGTACTATCGGCCATTTCTTATAACCTCTTTGTGAATGCACGCTCCAAAGTTGGCTCCCTTTGGGAACCTGTCCTCTTGAGCAGGGGTCTGTCTTTACTTCCTGGCCAATTCTGTGTCTAACACCATGCCTGAAGCTGACTAGACTTATAACATGTGCTTTTGGGAGGAATGAACCAATGCAACCTGGGATCTTAACATCTATGTTCTTTGCATTTTGAAGTATTTCTTTATAGAGCACCTTTTGCACTTTGCAAAGCTTCCCAGAGAAGGATCATTAATTTGGAAATGAATAGTATATATAGGATGCAGTGCAAAAAAAGGAAGGAAATGCGTATCAAACTCATCACCACATTTAAGGCTCAATAGTACCATTTTACCACTTAAGAGAAAGGCAAAACCACTGTGCATATAATTGAATCTTAATGGTGAAAATAATATTCATTCTCACTATGCATTAGAGATACTATTTTTAAATTATTTCTAATATAAACACATATTTTCTGGCCCTCATTTTCCTCCTTTTTGCTCCTGCTCTCAGGCACAAATTACTGTTAAGTTGGGCTGAATAATGAATGAAAACAGTCAGTGTCATTAATGACAAAGTGTAATATTGAGCTGATGAGACATCTTGTTTGCAAAGCTTTTTTTTCTCTCTCTCTTTTTTTCCCCCAAACATTCCTCTGCAAGGATCACTTGCAAAATAATTTATATTCAACTGAGTATCTAATTGAATGATTATGAACCCGTGGAAATGTAGGCTACTGGGTCTGATATACTAAGGAAAAAATAAATAAATAAAACAACCTTCCCTTTGGATAATTACTTACTGGTGTACATCAGTCTCATATTTAGAAGAACTTCCATTTTTAGAGCATATGCAAGTCTCACAAAAATAAGCTCTCAGCTTATGAGTGTCCATCACTGCAGTGGGGAAGGGTTTACTTGGGCAGAGGTTAATTTTGTGCTATTACAGTTGCTGAAGTGCAGCGTGCCCTGACATCAATTTCCTGTCAGACACATGTTTTTTGAGATGTGAGGTTCATATATATATGAACATCATCCTGGAGAGGAACCATCCGTTTTCCCAGATTGAAATGATCTTGAATCAGTAGGTAGGGTGAAGTGAAGCCTGAATGTGAAAAACTAATTGAAGGCTGGAATGCTCCAGAAACTCTAGGCTTGAGTCTCATCTGTAATAATTTTTAGCTTTATTTTACTACCTGAGAAGGTAGGTACGCATACTTACCCCCTTACTTATAACTTTTATAGGTAATAAGATTAAGACTCACAATGGTTATACATCCTATAAAGTAGTCCCTGGAATAGTGTACTCAAAAGATATGAGTAGAGGGAATAAATCAATATTCCTTCTGATGATGGATTGACCTCAGTCGTGGGTTTGTAAGACTAAAGACCGTGTGAAGAACTTTTAAGTATCTGACATGGCAATGAAAATCAACATTCTAATTAACTAGGTAATGTGTATTGAATTCCTTCTATATCATGCACTGTGCTAAGCTTTTTTGATGTACCAAGTCCATTAAAGACATCATAACTACTCAGTGAAGAAGATACAATGAGTCTGCCCAATGGTGGCGGGGGGAGAAAATGGAGGCTCAGAGATGTGAAGAATATCTCCCAGGTTCAGAGTGGCATCTAGAAATTGCTAGATCTGGGCCTTGCATTTAGGCCAGTGTGACTCACATCTATTATTTTGGAGCACACACATCCATGTCCCTTCTATGAGTCATGACATAAGTATTTTCAAGAAAGTTCTCTGGCCTAGTAAATGTGTATTTACTCCCATTATATAACAGGGAGATGATACAACCCTTAAGGTAGAAAGTGAAGATGAACTAAAGAGCCTCTTGATGAAGTGAAAGAGGAGAGTGAAAAAGCTGGCTTAAAGCTCAACATTAAAAAAACTAAGATCATGGCATCCTGTCCCATTGCTTCATGGCAAATAGATGAGGAAACAATGGAAACAGTGACAGGCTTTATTTTATTGGGCTCCAAAATCACTGCAGATGGTGACTGCAGACACAAAATTAAGACACTTGCACCTTGGAAGAAAAGTTATGACCAACCTAGCCAACATATTAAAAAGCAGAGATGTTACTTTGCCTACAAAGGTCAGTCTAGTCAAAGCTATGGTTTTTCCAGTACTCGTGTATGGATGCAAGAGTTGGACCATAAAGAAAGTTGAGTGCCAAAGAATAGATGCTTTTGAACTGTGGTGTTGGAGAAGACTCTTGAGAGTCCCTTGGACTGCAAGGAAATCTAATCATTCAATCCTAAAGGAAATCAGTCCTGAATATTCATTGGAAGGACTGATGCTGAAGTTGAAGCTCCAATACTTTGACCACCTGATGGGAAGAACTGACTCACTAGAAAAAGACCCTGATGCTGGGGAAGATTGAAGACAGTAGAAGAAGAGGTAAACAGAGGATGAGGTGGTTGGATGGCATCACTGACTGTAGGGATGCAAGTCTGAGCAAGTTCCGGGAGTTGGTGATGGACAGGGAAGCCTGGTGTGCTGCAGGCCACGTAGTCGCAAAGAGTCCTGTTGCAAAGACAGGACTGAGTGAATGAACTAACTGACTGATGTAATAGGGTTTTGTGATTGTTGTTGAAATAATAAATAAATGCAAGTCAGCATCTTTCTCTTTTGGACCTTAACTACTACAAAGTTATGGGCTAAATTCATTGCTCAATCACAATAATTTTATTAGCCCTCAAAATAAATGTGTTCTCCCATCCTTCTGAATGGATGTTAAATTTCTGGTTTTGTTTTCACCATCTTAAAGTATCTTTTATTGTAAATCCTTCTGAATCATCTTTTGAGGATATATGGGCAAAGGATGAACTTTCAAATTAATTAATCTTATCTTGCTGTGAAGTAAGATCACTTTGCAGATCAAGAGAGAAAAGGAGTTAAAAGACTTGACCAACATAAATGAGCTGATGAATTCTGGAACCAACTATCCTTATTCTGTGTCTAGAAATTATTCCCTCCTATCATATTGCCTTTTGGATACAGGGAATATATATTGTTTAAAAATTTCAACTTTCAGAAAGGTGATCCCAACTAAAAGCAGACACCGAGTGTGCTCTATACTTTGCTCAACACTTGAAGATTTATTTAGACTATTTTAAAGTTTTTCCTTTGACATCAGTGAATGTGCCTTAACTTTCTACTGATGTATGTGATAGTCTCTGTATCAACTTGGCTACGCTGTGGTCCTGGTTATTTAATCACATACTCATCTATGTGTTGCAGTGAAGGTGTTTTTTATAAAAGTGAAAGTGTTAGCTGCTTAGTCGTGTCGGACTCTTTGTGACCCCATGGATAGTGGCACACCAGGCTCCTCTGTTCATGGAATTCTCCAGAGAGGAATACTGGAGTGGGTTGCCATTTTCTCCTCCAGGAGATCTTCCTGACCCAGAGATCAAACCCAGGTCTCCCACATTGCGAGCAGAGTCTTTACTGCCTAAGCCACCAGGGAAGCCTCCAAGGTTCCAGAACACAGCAGTTCTCCTAGTTTAGAAATTCTGCAGCCTCACTGAGACCTCTAGTCCATCCATCCTACCACATTATTATTATTATTATCTGGCATTGCTAGGAATTATTAAAGCTATTTCACACATTTCTGATTATTCTCCTTTCTAAAACACAGCAGAACTGCTTCATGACAATTTTTTGAAATTAGATGGAGTCGTTTGGTTTGCTTTCACAAGCAAATCTGAGAAGTGATATATGCATTTTAATTGCCAGTTCAATTCCCTGGCCCTCTCTTCTTCCCATTGCAGCAATTGTGGAAGCCGACATGGAGATGGAGTCTTCATCAATCCAAGTCCTTGAGTGACCGTGATGAACAACAGCTGTAGCCATCCTGCTTGAGAAATAAATGTTTGTTGTGATAGGCCATTGAGATTTGGGGTGTGTTTCTTTTCTTAGGGGTATAGACTCCCACCATGTACAATTTCCCTGACTATGACCATAACCATCCCTTGAAAACAGGGTACATGACCTTGGCCATTCCCTGCTCATAAGACACCCTTAGTAACCACAGTTCTGCCTAAAACCTGGTGGAGTAGTCAGTATTCTCAATAGAAACAAACTGAATAGGATGTACATAGAGAGAGAATCAGTTTAAGGAACTGACTCATGTGATTTTGGAAGCTGTCAAGTTAAGTTATTCAGGGTAGACCAGAAGGCTGGAGATCCAGGGATGCATGACATTTTGAGTCCAAAGATAGTCTGTTGGCAAAATTCCCTCTTCTTCCAGAGAGGTCACTCTTTTTCTCTAAAAGTCTTCAACTGATTGCATGAGGTCCACCCACATTATGGAGGGAAATCTGCTTTACTCAAAGTCTCCTGATTTAAATGTTAATCTTATCTAAAAAAATCTTCACAGAAACATCTAGAATAGTGTTTGTTCCAATATCTGGGTACCGTGGTACAGCCAAATTGACACATAAAATTGTTCATCATACCTAGTTACATGGATTGTCTTCTTCCTCTGCATCTGCTGCCAAAGAGCTGACTGCAGCTGAAGAATGTTGCAAAATGGGATTGAATGGATGCATTTCAATAGATGACCACACATCTGAAGTAGGCATTCAATCCAACTAGACAATCATGTTTTCCAGGTGAATTTATTTTCTAGCTCTGGAGATGATGGTTTCACACCTTATCTATCTTCAAATATCACTCCTTCCTCCACCAAATTCTACTGGTGACCTCATCTTTTATCTCAAAGAAGGTGGATGCAATCAGACATAAATTTGCCATCTTTATTTCTTCAGTGACACTGGCCACCTGTATCTGTATCCCTGGCTTCCTCCATGTAATGGAATGAGCATCCATCTCAGCCCTAGGACAGACTCCCTTCTTATGCTCCCTGTCCCCTACCCCTTGCTTTCTCAAGGACTGCATTCCTCCAGATATTTTTTATCACCCTCTCCCTGTCTACTACATCATTCTCATAAGCCAAAAGATCTGCCGTCAGATATTCATCCAAAATAAAATCTCCCATGCCTCCACATTCCCTCTAAATGTCAGGGCCTTTTTCTATAGGTGTTCACAGCAACATCTCCTGCAAAGAGCTTTCTTTCTGTGTAGTGACGGACATTGTGTTCCTGTTCACTGATTCATTACCTCCTTATCTGTTCCCTCAGAAACCATTCTAAATAAATAGCTTATCTCCAATACTCTCTACTGTTACTATACTTTCCTTTACATAGAACATATAATTATTATTTCTGCTCACATCTGTTTGCTTACTCATATGTGTGTTCATTACCAGTCTATTAGAATATGAGCAAGTCGACGGCAGGTTCTCGGACTATCTATGCAGCCCTGGCTTGCCTAGCACCACATGAATATAGCATGCCTGAAAGATCCCTGCATATGTTACCCATTCACTCACTTCAGTCATGTCTGACTCTTTGTGACCCCGTGGATTATAGCCCACCAGGCTCCTCCATCCATGGAATTCTCCAGGCAAGAAAACTGGAGAGAGCTGCCATGCCCTCCTCTAGGGGATCTTCCCAAACCAAGGATCAAAACTGTCTCCCATGTCTTCTGCATTGCAGGTGGATTCTTTACCGCTGAGCCACTGGGGAAGGCCCTGAATGCTCCCTCTTTCCAGGCAAATTGCAATCAGTTTGAAACCTTATTGAGTAGAGAAACTGAGCTCTGTACAAAAGAGCATCCAAGTCTGGATAAAAACAGCACTTAACAATTTCCATAATGATGCAGGGCATTTAACCACTGAGTCTAACACACCTGCATTCTCAGATTTGCCTGGGAATACTGGGGAGAGTATTTGCTTAATATTCTTCCCCATGTAAGGGGATTGCTTCCAAGCAGTAGAGCAGATTCCACCAAAGGCCAGCTTCACACTCCAGCTCTCTGGGAGAGAAAGCTTCCTGCAGCTTTGAAACGAGTTAACTTTCTTTGTCTCTGTATTGCTGTCATTGTTGGTTTGGTTTTTTGGTTTGCTTGTTTTGTTTTCATGTATCCCTATCCATCAAGGTTACAGAAAAAAAAAAAAATCCCACATCCCAGTTCCAGGCATGACACCCTAAAGCTAAAATATTCCACACATTTATGTTGTTTCCTTGGGATAACTTTCCAGATGTAGGTCTGCGGGTCCAAATGTATGTACAGTTTTAAAGGTTTTGAAAAGGAATGCCAAATTGCCTCCAGAAAAGCAGAAATACTTTATCCTCTCCCAGGCCGGGGCTGAGAGGGTTAGCCCCCCACGGCCTTGCCTGCGCTACACATTATTCTTTCCCAGCTTTGCAATGTAAACACCAGGGTGCTCTTTCCTCTGTAGGGGAGGGACAGAGTTGCCTGGGGCTGCCCCCTCCCCCACCATTTACACAGGTGCTAAAATCTTCCCTAACACCCTGATCACCTCATCCACATGCATTTGATGGAAGGCAACCCCAAACACCTCTTACTGTGCCTCGCCAGAACTCTGAGTGCTTTGTAAAACCAACTCAGGCTCTCTTTGTCCTACATATGAGGTCAGGAGGCAGGCTGCGCACCCTGGGGTCCGTGATCCACCACCCTCTCCACTTCTAATGCTGTCTCCTCCCTACAGCCCCCCACAATAATAGACATATTTTCAGCTTCCTCAGGTTGGGCAACTTATCAAAGAGAACCCAGGGGTCTCACGCAGAGCTGCAAGTGAATCTTAGCGGCTTACTGCAAAGTACATCACGCAAGGACTTGTGTTCCATTTTCATGGATTACAGCCTCTGCCAGACCCTGGGAAATGAAGTTACCGTCGAGTACATGCAGGGCTCTGCTGAGCCGTGGAAACTTTCTAAGGCAAACAGATTTTCTCTTTTATTTTTTTCCCAGTTTTCTTATTATTTTGGGGAAGATGGCGGAATACACAATGCCTTGGAGTCAGAATTTACAGGGCTAAGTAAATCTGCAACGTTGCCATTAGCAGTAGGATGAAAACGGCGAGAGGACCACACGCATCTAATTGACATCACCTTGCTATCTTCAGGTGGCTAATGTCTGCCCTGGTTCCGTGAACACGTCATTCATAATAGTGGTAACTGTGTCCACTGATGGAACACAGTGTGTGCCAGCCTCTCGGCCGGGACTTCTGTAAGCGTTGTTTGGCACAGTCCTCACTGCCTTATTAAACATCGGCTTCTACATTTTGCAGATGAAGAAACTGAGATTCAAAGTCAAGTCCAACAATCACCATCCTGAGCCCAGGTACAGGGGAATCTGTGAGAAATGCAAGGTCTCAGGGACCCTCTCTGCCCCCAGACCTTGAGAAACAAACTCTGCATTTTAACAGGAACCTTGAGTGATTCATGAGCACAACACAGCTTGTAGAACAACATCCAAGGTCACACAGCTAGTCAGGAGAGCACCTCAGAGTTGCACTCTGATCCCAAGAATTCTTTCTAGCATGCAAAGCACACTAGAATACGTTCTAGCATTCTTGAATATATATATATATATATATATATATATATTTTAATGAGGCAGAAATTCTCTAGCTTCTTATTGTTGTTCAGTCACTCAGTTGTGTCTAGCTCTTTGTGACCCCATGGAGTGTAGACCACCAGATTCCTCTGTCCATGGAACTTTTCAGGCAAGAATACTGGAGTGAGTTGCCATTTCCTTTTCTAGCGGATCTTCCTGACCCAGGGATTGAACCTGCATCTCCTGTGTCTCCTGCATTGTTATGCAGATAATTTACCAACTGTGCCACCTGGGAAGCCCCTAGCTTCTGGGCAGCGGGGTGGGAGGGGATTACTGTGTGACTATACTGCTCATCTTGCTAGTGTGTGTGTGTGTGTGTGTGCGCGCGCCTGAGTGAGTGTGTGTGTGTGAATTGTTTATTCTAGCAGTGTGGGGTTATAGCTACCAATGTAGTAATATTTCTGCTGTAATGAGGAACAAAAATAAAGGTGTTTTCATATATAGACAATGTTGGCTGGTTGCACGTTCGCGGTGACACTAAAGGATTATTTGCCTATCATTAAGATATGAATGCTTTACCTAGTACTGTTTTTGCCTGTAGCAGAAATTATATTAAAAATGTAAATTGTTAGACTGTCCATCCATTAAGTTGCATTCCAATATTATGTAATATAATGTAAATGATGAAAAATAAATCCAAGGCAATTGGTCAAGCAACTTCCCCATCTTTACACCCCTGTCCTAATTCAATTTTGATGGAAGGCGCTAATACCAGGACGCCGTGTACCACTTGGATCTTGCTCAGTATTTGTGCCCAGATCTGTAGCACAAAGTCAGAGCAAGTATTTGGAAGATCTTGACTGTGTGTAAAGCTAGCTACTCTGTAACGGTGCCCTCGCACACTTGTCCTGGGAGGCGTCCTGCACACTCTGACATCTTGCATCTCCTAGTGTAATTGACAAACAACTCCCTGCTGCTTCCTCATGGCCACATTCCAGTTGTGCAAGGTTTAATAGAGCTATTTCCACTACGAATTCTGCCTTGTCTTTTTGTCTGCTTGTTTTATTTATTTTCAACTTTTAATGCATTAACGTTCACTTACAGAAACACCAGAAAGCAATCTCTCTTCTTTAATAATGAATACACTTGGCAAGGCAACGTGGGTGCCTTACTCTCCAGACTCTCATAACTAAAAAAGAAGCAGGAAATAGATTCACTTTTATTGAACACTTACTAAGTGACTTAGTATTATGTACATATCACACCCGCCTAAATACACACGACACACAAACACAGAATGCACAAGCATCCACATATACATACAAGTACACAAACACCCATAGACATGTATACATACATACATACATACATACACACATACACAAATACACGTAGGAAACACATCACACAT